GGAATCTTCCAAGGTCTCTCCACTGATAGTGCTCGAAGGTCGGCAAACCACGGCCGTCGCGGCCAGTAGGGTACCAGGAGGATGAGCTCTGCTCCCACTCTGATAGTCTTGCAAATCACCCTGGCTAGTAAGGGCACTGGGGGGAAGGCATACAGGAGACCCCTGGGCCAGGGGCAGCAAAGGGCATCCACACCCTCTGAACCAGGTGTAGGGAACCTCAAAAAGAACCTGGGGAGTTGGGCGTTGCACGGAGAGGCAAACAGATCTACCATCGGGTCTCCAAACCGTTGTACAATCTTCTGAAAAAGAGAAGAGTGTAATTGCCATTCGGCCTGGTTGATTCTGGATCTGCTGAGCCAATTTGCTTGTATATCAGCCTCCCCCGAGATATGTTCCGCCCTGATGGATAGCAAATTGTCTTCCGCCCAGGAACCCAACGTGTTAGCTTCTAGCATCAGGTCCCGAGACATAGTCCCCCCCCTGCCTATTAACATGGGCCTTGGCAGTTATGTTACCCGTGAGAATTAGCACGTGCTGTCCCACAATGGAATGCTGGAAGCTCAACAAAGCCAACCTGATAGCCCGTAATTCTAATCAGTTTATGCTCATAGATGCCTCCTCCTGGCTCCACTGGCCCTGCACCATCTGGGATCCCATGTGTGCACCCCAGCCAGAGAGGTAGTAATAGTAACCCTGTGGAGTACTCTGAAATGGCATCCCTTCTCTATTGCTCTATATTCCCATCAATGGAGGGAATTAACCAGTTCCTTGTTCAGGGACAGCTTGGTGAGTGAGGTGCTGATCCTTCTCTTTTGAAAGGGGAGTAGAAACCACTGTAATTCTCTTGTATGGAGACGAGCCCATGGAATGATGTGGATAGCAGAGACCATCTTTCCCAGTAGTTTGTATAAGGTGGCAAGGGATATCCTACGGGACCCTTCACCTCGGCCACAAGTGCCTGCAAACTGCGTATGCAATCCTCAGAAAGGAAGACCAGGCCACCCACTGAGACTATCCACGCCCCTAGGTGGAGAATTTTGGTGATAGTTGTAAAATGGCTTTTGGCCTCATTAATGGAAAAACCATGGCCCCAAAGTACTTGTAATGCTGTGGCAAGTTCAGCAGTGGCTGTCGCCTGGGAGCTCGAGTGAACCAAGGTATCATCTAGGTAAAGTTAGACCCTGATGGGTAAAGTGTGCAAGTATGCAGCCATGGCTGCTAAAACATTAGTAAACACAAGGGGCACAGAAGAAAGGCCAAAAGGCAAAGTCGTATATTGATAGTGGTTAGACTCATAACAAAACCATAGAAACTGGCCGTGCTCCTGCAAAATAGGATGTGCAGGTAAGCTTCCATGAGATCCATCGAGGTAAGCATATCCCCTTTGCGAATACCCTCCAGAATGGTACTTAGTGATTGCATCTTAAAACGTCTATATCGAACGTAACAGTTTAACCGTTTTAAATTCAAAATGGCCCTCTAGCCCCCCGTGGCCTTGGGTATGACAAACAAGATTGAGTAAAAGCCTTGTCCGACCTAAGTGGCTGGAACCTCCTGAATGGCTTTAATATCTAAAAGATGCTGGATGGCTAACCTCATCAGGATGCGCCTCTAGGGGTTACCAGAAACCGG